GTGCCCTGCCTGTCCCCTGTGCCCTGCCTGTCCCCTGTGCCCTGCCTGTCCCCTTGTGCCCTGCCTGTCCCCTGTGCCCTGATTCTCCCCCATACCTTCCCTGTCCCCTGTGCCCTGCCTGTCCCCCGTGCCCTGCCTGTCCCCCGTGCCCTGACTGTCCCCTGTGCCCTGACTGTCCCCTGTGCCACAGTGCCCCACGTTCAAGCGCGAGGCCGACGCTCCCGAGGTCCCGGAGCCGTTTGCGGCCGAGGCCAAGTTCTTCACGGAGTCCCGGCTGCTGCAGAGGGATGTGCAGATTGTCCTGGAGAGCTGCCACAACCAGAACATCCTGGGCACCATCCTGCACCCGGCAAGTGGGGCTGGGGGGCCAGGGAGGGGCAGGGTCCTGGTGGCTGTCAGGCATCGCTGCTGGAGACGCTAAAGGGGGTTGCTCCTGGTGCTCCCCGTGGGGGAACTGGGGGTCGTGGGCTCTTTCCTGGTGGATGTGGGAGACTCTGGTCCATCTGAGGAGAGCTGAGGCCTGTGGGTGTCACTGGGGTGCTCTCCACTAGCACTGGGAGCTGTGTTCAGACCTCACAGGGGTTTGGTGACCGGTGACGTGGAAGGGGCTGCACAGGGGGCTACATGAGCTCCCCCCTCGCAGCAGGGCAGGGACAGGGTGGGTGTCTAACCCCACATTCCTGGTGCTGACCCTGTGCCTCCTCCCCAGAACGGGAACATCACGGAGCTGCTGCTGAAGGAGGGCTTTGCCCGCTGCGTGGACTGGTCCATCGCCGTGTACACCCGCGGGGCCGACAAGCTGCGCGCGGCCGAGAGGTGGGGCTGGGCTGGGGGCTGGGCTGGGTGACTCCCACCTGCTCCCAGGGGGCCTGACCAGCCTGGGGGGGTCACCCGGTGCTCTCCAGGGTGGGATTGATGTGATCTCCCCTTGCGAGTCCTCTCCAGCTCCGCTGCCCCGGCCTGGGCTTTGCTGGGGAATGTCACCCCCGGCACGTCCGGCCCTGCTGGACCCCCGTGTCCCACTGTCCCCTCCCCTGCAGGTTCGCCAAAGAGCGCAAACTGAGGATCTGGAGGGACTACGTGGCCCCCACGGCAAACCTGGATCAGAAGGACAAGCAGTTTGTGGCCAAGGTGAGCGGCAGGGAGAGCCGGGTGGGGCTGGGAAGGGACAGTCCGGGATTGGGGGTGGGGGGCGGGTGCCCAGCTCCTGATCTGGCCTCTCCAGGGGCTTGGACAAACCCCAGAGGGTTTGTGGTGCACGACCAGCCGGGTGCACGCCGGGATCTCCGGCAGGCCTGGGGTGGGAGGAGGTGAAAGGAGAAGGGAAGGAGCCGCAGGGGGAAGGGGCCGAGGGTCGTAGGGATGGGCTGGTGGTGCCCTGGCACCTCGCTCCGGCCCTCCGGGCCACAGGGATGCTCTCGCCCTGCACAGTGTCACAGCACAGCCCACTCCCGGGGGATGGTTGCTCCGTGGATTGATTCCCACTGCTCTCAGGGGGATGGTTGCCCTGGGAGTGGATTCCCACTGCTCCTGGGGGAATTGTCCCATGAGTTGGAGATGCTGCTGAGCCCCACTCCTGGTGGGTGCTGGTGTGGTGCTGGGGGGTCTGTGGGGACCTGAGGTGTTCCCTGCCTGTGTTCCTGGCACGTGGATGCCATGATATTCCTGCCCCGTTGTGGTTTGGAGGGCACAGCCGATGTGGGAGGCGGATGAAGCTGCGTGGGGGTGATCCCAGGTGGGATGGAGGAGCCTCTCACCTGGGCTGTGGGGGCTGTGGGGCCCGGGCAGGATGCAGGGAGCAGCCCCACTAGATGGTGCTGCCGGATCACCCAGCACAGCAGCCGCGGGCTCCCTTCGGCTGGGATTTCCATGGGAATGTGCAGCAGCCGCATTTCTTGGAAAGTCAGCGTTGTCCCTGCGCAGGTTCGGATCCTGCCTCCTGGGGGGCTCCTGAATGGGATCCTGCCTCCCAGGGGGCTCCTGAATGCCTGAGATTGAACGGGGCAGCAGCAGCAGAGCTCTGGAGCTGCCGAGTGGGACAAAACCAGGAGCTCTTGCAGCTGGTCCGGTCTCATCCATGTGGAGCACTGGGCTGATCCTGATCCGTGTGGCACTGTGGGCTCGTGTCCGCTGGGATGAAGCTGGGGAGGTGCTCACGTGTTAACTCGGATGGCTCAGGTGTGGCTGGACAGGAGCAGAGCTCCCCAAAATCTTCCCACCAGCTTCCCCAGGCAGGGCAGGGTTTGCTCAGCCAGCCCGAGGGCGCAGGGACACGGCCGGAACGCCGAACCCTGAGGGTCTCTGGGAGCCCGTCCCTAGGGATCAGGACCTGCTTGGTCCCTCCCAAGGGATGGCGGTGCCAGAGGAGCCCCGGGCGGGTGTCCCGTGGGCACGGGGACAGCCGTGTGCCGGCGCTGGCACGCCGGGAAGTGCCATCCCACCGCTGGCAGCGGCTGCCGCCGGAGCCGCGCCAGGAGCCGGCACGGGGCCGTTAGTCACGGCTCAGCTGGTGGAGGGGGCGGCTGGATGCTCCTGGCATTTCCCAGATGCCTGTTGTTTTGTTGGATGGCTCGTGCGGGCTGGGGGGGCTGCGGAGGGAGGGTCCCACCCTGAGGCCCCCGGCAAGGGGGTGTCTGGGGTGGGTTTGGAGCTCGGCAGCATCTCTAACCCATTGGAGGAACGTCCCCCTCGGAGCAGTGGGAATCCACTCCCGGGCAGCCCTCCCCCTGGGAGTGGTGGGAATCAATCCACAGGGTAACCATTGCCCTGGGAGTGGTGGGAATCAATCCACAGGGTAACCATTGCCCTGGGAGTGGTGGCAATCCAGCCCTGGTACCACGGAGCAGAGGGAACCCCGACGTGCAGGGGGGACCCCGCTGTGGGTCCCAGAGCAAAGCAGGCAGGATTCCCCCCCAGTTCCGGGCACAGCCCCTCACTCTGCCGGGCTGCCCCCGGTCTGGAGCTCTGCCGGTTCCACTCCAGCGGGGTTTGGCTGCCCTGGCTCGGCAGTGGGAGCCCCCCGGCAGAGCAAACACCGCGTCCTGCTTTTCGGGGAGGAGACAAGGCGTTTCTCCGCCTTTCTGTTCAAACCCGCTCTGTGCAGGCCTGTGCCAATCAGGGGGCCGGGGGCCGGCGCCGCAGCCCCCCCGGGCGCGCTGTTTGCAGTGTCAATTTTGGGTCGGGTGTTTGTTTTTCCGTTCCCCGGAATTTTAAGTGACAGGGAAAATCAGGACAAATGCCCACACGCCTCCGAGGGCCAGAGCTGAACCCGCAGCTGGGCACGTGCCCGGCTTCCCCCAGGGGCTCCCTGAGCTCCCGTCTGTCCTCCCCGTGCCCGTGGAGGGGTCTGAGCCCCCGGGACGGGCAGGGAGCGGGTGGGCAGGAATCGCTCCGGCGCCGGAGCCGCCTCCGTGCTCGGCACGACGGTGCTCGTTTGCAGCGGCAGAGCTGACGTAGGAGCTGCTGGAGGGGGTTGGTGAGGGGAGGAGGAGGAGGAGGAGGAAGATCCCAACCTGTCTTTGCACCGCTGATCAACCGCGGCGAATCGGCTCCGGCTAATTTTGGCTCCCGCTGCCGTCGGCTGCCGGCGCTGGGAGCGCAGGGGTGGGCTTGGGGAGAAATTAAGGCTTGGCCTCGATTGTGGATTTGGTGCCTGTGAGTGGCAAGGAGAAAAGCAGAGGCATAAAAATGTTGAGGAGGCTGGAGGCTTTCTCCCAAAATCCCTACGTCAGCTTGTCTTGGAGCACGCGGGGATTTGGGACAGCGCTGCGGAGAGTGGAATACATTAGGCTGAGAGCCAGGCTCTGCCAGAGCTGGTTAGAACACGGCTTTGTGCCGGGGCTTCGGGGGGGTTGCGTCATCCCATTCCTGCTGCGGGGCAGGATCGGCCCCCTCGGGGTCCGGGGGGGCTCCCTGGGCAGCCCCTCGGCCGCATCCGGGCTCTGCATCCTGTCCTGCCCCGCGCCAGTGGGTCGGGATGAGCTGTGCCCGTGTCCTTTCATCTTTATTTTTATTCCCTTTGCTTGGAGCCTTGGTCGTGGCCAAATCATGCCAGGGCCGAGCCTGGGGGCTGTTCCTGAGCTGAGCTGAGCACCAGACCTGCCAAAACCCCTCAGGAGGCAGGGAGGGGGGACAGCACTCGCCCCTCTCCCAGAGCTGGGCACCAGCTCCCAAAGTGCCACTGTCCCTGTTGTCCATAGTCAGGGTGTGGGAGGTCACCCCCAGCTTTGGGGATGCTCCCTGTGCATCCTGGAGAGGGTGCTCCCCCAGGAGAGGGGTACCAGCTCTCCTGCCCTCTGTGCTCCCCAGTAGTGGGGCTGAGCAAAGCCCTGGGGTGGAAAATTGGAAACTTTGTTGGGATCAACTCTTGCAGTAAGGAAAAAACGTCTTCCATGATAAATATGGACAAGGCACTGCTGTGACGTTCTTTCCGTGGGGAGCAGTGATGGGATGAGGGCGTCCAGTCTGGCTGGGGTTTGGCACCGGGGGCCGGAGCCCCCCTGCCCTCAGGAGCATCCCTGGCCTCCCCTCCCTGCTCCCGGCGTGGGTGAGGGCCGTGTCCCACGGGGTTGGGAAGCAGCGCCGGAACGTGCCAGCTCTGCAAGAAACAGCTGCAGAGGTTTAAAAAAATAATCCCTCCAATCCCTTTATCAAAGGGCCTCTCGGAGGCAGGTGAAGCCACAATAAATATTGGATAAAGGAAGCTGGATGCAGCAGGCTGGGGAAGTGCTGGAAGACAAACGGCCCCCGGCGCGGTGCTGAGTTGCCCGTTCTGTGGCCACTGACACCGTGTCACCCCCTGCCCGCAGTGTCCCCAGGGAGGGGTGACAGGGCACCTCCTGCCAGTTCTGTGGCCACTGTCAGTGTCACCCCCTGCCCGCAGTGTCCCCAGGGAGGGGTGACAGGGCACCTCCTGCCAGTTCTGTGGGCACTGACACCGTGTCACCCCCTGCCCACCGTGTCCCCAGGGAGGGGTGACAGGGCACCTCCTGCCAGTTCTGTGGCCGCTGGCACCGTGTCACCCCCTGCCCACGGTGTCCCCAGGGTAAGGGTGACAGGGCACCTCCTGCCCTCCCTTTGGTGCCTGCCCAGAGGAAGGGAGCAGGTGCCCAAGGAAGGGGGGACACCTGGGGGTCTCCCTTAGCTGCTGCCACCCTGCTCTGTCCTGCCTGGGGCTGGCATCCCTTGGGAGCTCCAGCTCCAGTTGCCATGTCCTGCTGCACCCCTTGTCCTGCTGCACCCCTTGTCCTGCTGCACCCCTTGTCCTGCTGCACCCCTTGTCCTGCTGCATCCCTTGTCCTGCTGCACCCCTTG